GAAGCATCCACCTGGCAATGGTGCAGCTGCAGCATAGACATACCCACAGAATAAAGGGCCGCACAAAGGGACGTCTTACGCCTGGCGGCATTTCTCTGCCTGCAACACAATAACTTTTGGACGGAACTCTGCACCCGATCAGTTCCAAAATTTCAGGGAACGTTCTAGGCGAGGAAAATTGGTGGAAAATCAGAAAACTGGCAAGGGGGAAATGAGGGACACATGGAGCTCCTGGCATTCGGTTAGCAGGCTCAGTAGTTTCAACCAGGTCTACAACCATCTACAGATCAAAGAACCGGTTGATGGCGCCATTCCAGCCTGGCGCGCTTCCCAGGACACAGTTTAACATGTTGACACCCTAAATGACCTACCTCCCAGAAAGACAGACAGACAGAAAAGAAAGAAGAATGGTGGGGCAAGGGGGGCACACAGAGCCCTCATACAGTGGAGAAATGGGAGACCAGGGTATGGGGGACAGGGATGCAGAACCCTTGCCATGGTAGGGAAGAAGGAAACAGGAGGCCCAGGGAAGGGATGGGAAGGGGGAACAAGGGGGCACAGAGAGCTCTTGGCATGGAGGTTCAGTGGGAGACAATGGTATTGGGGGAGAAGGACATGGGGGACACAGAGCTTGCTCCATGGGGGTACCCAGAGATCCTGCTACATAGGAGAGGAGGCACACTGAGCTCCTTGCAGGAGGAAGAAGGTGGAGGGTTGCAGGGAGTCCCTGACAGAGGGGGATTAGAGGTGGTGTCCAGGGAGCTTCAGAGGAGGGTGAGGAAGGGAGGGATTCAAGGAGCCCCAGGTGTGTGCAATGGGCCCAACCAACGGAAGCAACAAAGCGTGCGACCCTCTAGTAATGATATCATCTAACTCTGTGGGGCAAAGCAAGTCTTCGTGCACGATGCTGACATGCAGGCAAAGCCAGGAGAGAGGGACATAAAAGGTTCACAATCCATTTAAACCCTGGTCTACATTTAAAAATCAGATTAGACCTAGCTACTTCGCTCCCTGAGCGCCGTAGTTAGGTCGCTCAACCCCCTGGTTTAGACACGGCTAGGTCAACAGAAGCACCATTCTGTCAACCTAGCTACTGCCTCTCGGAGAGACGAATTAACTTCATCAACACAGCAGCATCTACACTGCCGCACTACCAGAATGGGGCTGCTGTAGTGTAGACATGGCCTAAAAGGTCCCCGTGCGACTTCCCCAAATGGGTAGATCATCTCCAGGAGACCCAACATTTCCTTTCACTCTTGCTCTCATTAGCACCATCTGTGAATAAATCAGAGACACATTAAACTGAATTCCTTTCTCCACAGGCACTCTCCCCTTCCCCACGTAATCGAATCATAGAATATCAGAGTTGGAAGGGACCTCAGGAGGTCATCTAGTCCAACCCCCCGCTCAAAGCAGGACCAATCCCCAATTTTTGCCCCAGATCCCTAAATGGCCCCCTCAAGGATTGAACTCACAACTCTGGGTTTAGCAGGCCAATGCTCAAACCACTGAGCTATCCCTCCCCCTAATTTTCATTCCAAATCTACTGAACACACATTTTAATCATTTGAGAAACAGTTCTGCACATACCTAACACTCCTGCAGCCTCCTGTGTGACTTACAGTGCCCCCAACTCCAACCATTCACCTCCCAGCAAAGCCCAATGAAAGCAGGAAGATAGACCCTGTCAGAAGCTAAGGCCTGGTCTACACTGAAGAGTTAGGTCAACAAAGCTACATTGGTCAGGAATGTGAAAAAGGATGTACACCCCTGACTGGTACAGTTATGCTGACCTAACCCCGAGTGCAGACACAGCTGTGTCGATGGAAAAATGCTTCTACGGATGTAGCCACAATCCTTTGGGGAGGTGGTGTTCCTACAGAGATAGGAAAGCCCCTTCCTCCATTCCAGACTGTCTCCTCTATGGGCTTATGCCAACATAGCTATGCCCATATAGTCTCCGCAGACCAGAGACAGCCTAAATAGTTGCAGAAAAGACAGTAGAGCATCACGCCCAGCTGCGTCAGAACTACCCTGCCTCATTCCTCCTGCATCCCATCAACCCCTCTTCCTTTCCTGCATCACACCCTCATTGCAAGTAATTGTACCCCTTAGGGTAAAGGGAGGAACAAACAGAGCCTGAGACACAGAGGCAAGAGCCAATTATGTCAATGACCTGCCATCATTTACTTCTGACAAGTAAAACTCTCTGAATTGCAAAGGAAATCAACCGTCCGTCACCAATCAGTCGCAGGCCCTAGTAGCCATTAAAAGACACACATTTAGTCTTTCTGCCGTGATGAGCTATATCCCCATCTAAGCTAGAAAGGGAAACGTTTAAGGGATGTGATCAGGCTCAACACTGGGGACCAAATTCTGCTTGTACACCAGTGTAAATCTGGAGTAACTCCATTGGCTCCTGCAGGTTTATACTGGTGTGAGCCCACAGAATTTGGCCCAACGCCCCAATAACCTTGTCTATGTCACCAACAGCCCTCTAAATCATTAAAACTGGAAGGCTTCATATGCTAACTTACTTGTCACTATTAATGCTGTTTGCTGATGCTTGCTCTCAGACAATAAAATAGAAATTCAATCAATTCCGGTTTGTTTTTTGGTCTATTTCCCCACTACCAACATATGGCTGCAATGCTTGGGTTGCAGACACTACAGAGATCCTTCACTCCAGTGGAAGCAATTTTTTTTTTTAAGTAAAAAAAAATAAATAAAATGATGAAGGTTTCATAAAACCCTTCCCTCAAACCTTTGGGGCTGAACCGAACCTGAAAGCAACTGTTTAAATAAATGTACCTACATAATATAATCTACATACAAAACACCAAATAATTTTTCAAACAATGTTTAAAAATTACAGAACCCGTCACTATTTCATAACTATGCTAGTACGCCTGCAGGAAGATGCTATTTTGATATTTCACAGGCCTGGGAAGTGCAGGAAGACATTGGCAATCCAGCTCACCATTGGCATGCAAAAGGGGAAGTGGCAACAGCAGTAAGAATTCCGAGCTCTTATCTCGCACTTTCCATGAGTAGACCCCAAAGCACTTCACAAAGAAGGTCACAATATCATTGTCTCCATTTCACAGATGGGGAAACTGAGGCCCGGGCAGACTAATTACTGTTCACTGTAAACTAAACTCTATTCATTTCCTTTTTAAGGGTGACCCAGTCCACCCCTTTTCTTTTAAAGACATGGCTAATTCAACCTTGAAAATTAAAGCAGATTTGATTTTTTAAAGAAGGGAGCTATCCTGCAATTCTGCAAGTCTCTTGCTTTTCTTGTGCACCCCAACCGCATCGTTTCCGTTATGTCAACACCAGATATCAGACGCCAGCTTATTTTATTATATTAAAAAAAAACACAAATTAAACATCTCTTAAGGGGACAGGCTCTTCAAGAGCACCATTTAGACCACCTTTTCCACTGCACTGAAAGTTTCCCCTTTCAAATTCCTTCCAGCAGGACACATTTTTCAGCATTCAGAGGAGCTATTAGACAAAGCCAGATATTTGTGGTACCTTTTTTGGGGGGGGAGCGGGGGGGAGGGAGAGACAGGAGCCCAGGTTGACCTCGCTAAGCCATTTGATGACCCAGCTACTTTAATAGCTGCAGCCCCTTAAATGAAAATATTTTTAACAAGCTTTTAACGCACTAGAGCTCTCAGAAGTAAGCTCAGACATTGACTAATTTGAACGGCTGCCTCCAGCCTTTTATTGAGTTACTGGGATATTACTCCAAGAAGCTGATCAGCAAAGCTGGAAGCATGTCACTGAAGCACAATTCTGCCAGTGCCTCGGGATAAGATTTCAGATCATGAGTTTCCCACGCCTGGCCTGTCCGTGCACAAAAGTACCTCTCAGCCAGGAAGAGGAGAAAGAGAGAAGCTGTAATGGACTGCTCCAGATTGCACCAGTGGGGTTTGAAGGGAGTGCAATCCAGCCATCTGCAGCCCACTGCATTAGTACAATGAGAAGATTTTAAAGGGACAAGGATGTTTTGCAAGGGGGATCCCCAGTGGAAAGAGAACAGAGGAAAATCTCACACATACCCTGAACCAAATAATTCAGACCAATCTGCAAATGCTGCGCTTCTCAGATGAAAACCAAGATCTCTACAGTTCCAGACTGTCCCCCATGCGCCAGGCTCTAAGGCAGAGGCTGCCCCTGCTTTGGCACTCAGTCATTTCCCTTCCTTATCACCTCACCTAGATTTTACCTGTGGTGAATAAGTCTCAAAGCGCCTTTGTTCCCTGGGCTGTTCTGCTTGTTCAGTGACAGGTTATTAGCGCTCAGAGAGGCTCTTATCTGACTTCACAGGAGCAACGGGGACTTGGGAACAAGCAGTGGAACACCATGGATAATCTTGAAGAAGCTGCAATCCCTCTCTCAGGAGCTCATATGCACCTAATCCCGCCCCCCCCCATACACACACACCCCCCATCTCCTTTCCCCAGGCCTGACCAGCACTCATTGCATGTCAGCTCAAAGAGGAAGGAAGGTGTATGGGGTGGGTGGAGAAGAACAGGGACGGGGCGGGGGGGGGAGAGAGGGAACCGGTGTGCAATTTTGACAGGGTTCACTTCAGTGGGTTTCTGTTCCCAAGCACAGCACACTCCAGACAACAATGCAACTAAACTCCCCAACAGCAAACCTTAAAGAGAGCAAAACAAAGCAGGGGAATTGCCTCTCTGCAAAACTAGCCAAGCTACACTGGTCAGAATCAGCAGCGGTTCACCTCTTCCACTCAGGAGCCTGAGAACCGAACCAATATACTTATAGGGCATCATCTCGCATGCCGGGCTTAGATGGTGTACTGATGGACAGCATGCCAACCCTTAAACCAGACAGACAATCCAACTATGAATAAAGCATTTCATGCATCTTTAAGTTTAGCAAAGTTAAAATAAATCTCTCTGGCTCTCTGGTGATCTCGTTTGAAAGCAATGCAATTACTGTAACTACCGCGCGTCATAAATTACCTGCTTTGCCACTTGCCTGGTGATCCACTTCAGGAAAAAGAAGAAGAGGAGACAGGGAGAAACGTCCAACTCTAGGCAGCTGTTGAGAGGGGGGGGAGGGAACAATCCAACAGCAAGGGGTAGATGCTCAGCGCAGTGCGCAAAGCAATTCAGCAGCCTCCAGAGCTGCGTGTCTGTGAATCCTCGTGCATCCGTCTCCATATCAGCCACACGCGTGCACACCCATGCGCACCCTGTTGATCATGATAGGCTCTTGTCAGTTTCCCCACCCCCTGCCTTCCAATTAGCAAGGGGCACACAACATATTCACTGACTCAGCTAATAATTTCTCTCTTTCACTTAAAGGTCAAACGCCGAGGGATCTCTTTTATAATGCCGTTTTCTGAGCAGAGAACGAGCAGCACGTCCCAGAGTTACCAAAAGGTTTGACATTTTAATTCCATCAAAGCAGTAAATAGGGGGACGTCAAGGGGTCTGAAAGCATTCCCCCACCCCCAGCAAGGGGCTATGTGAATTGTGCGTCACTAACAAGCCGGGAACCCACCCCACCATCCTCCGCAAAGCACTAAAGGGAGAGGTTAGCAGACAGAGGGTTTTATTGTTCCCTCTACAGCACTTGCACCTCCCTGTGGGGAGCAGGGTGGGGGCTGGAGGTGGAAATGTGGATTCAAAAGAGCAAGTGAGAGCGTGGGACCCTTGAAAAGGGCAGAAACGGCACATCCAGAGTTTGAAATGTTGAGTTTTTTCTTTGAAAAAAAATCACCACTCTTCCCAGCCCCCTGTAGAAACAATGGGTGCAGAGTATTTCCACAGCAGGGATATGTGACCACTCTGCCCTTCCTACCCCATGCAGCAGGGAAGGGGCCCTAGAAAGGAGAAGGCTGAGAATCTCTGCAACGGAGCAAACCCTGCATCTGACAGAAGCGACACTGCACCATCTAGGAGCCTGTTTTATTGTATTTATAAAGAAGCAGGACATCAGGGAGGCTTTACTGATGAAGCACCACTTATCTAGCCCCTTCACTTCCATTTTTTATTCTAGCATCTTCCTTCTCTTTCTATTGGTATTCTTTGCTCGCTATTCCCACAAGACAGTACAGCAGCTACTCAGAGTTTTGTGGTCACTAGCAAGCAATAAACATGGCTACTGAACTGACTTCACAGATCTCCGCAAAAGCCCCACTCTACCACCAGCTCCTGTTACAAGGGAGAACCTCTTCTCTCGCCACAGGATTAGGACTTTGTACTAATTAGAGCTGCAGCCACTAGAGGGCGACACAAACACGACCCAATCGAGGGCAGCGAACCATGTAGCACTAACGAGTTCCGTCCTCGCGCTTGGAGAGCCATCTCGAGCCCTGTCCTCACTGAGAGTAAAAATCATGCTCGCTGTGCCTGTGTGTAAAGCAGTACCATTCTTCTCCCAGGGCAGCCAGAGACTGAGGACAGCACGTATTCCTCCACCCCAGCCCTGGCAGATGAATCCCAACACGGGAGCAGCTGGGACATTTGTAACTCCTCCTTCTAGAGTAAAATTCTTGAAGTCTCCCAAGAGGGAGGGAGCGAAAGCAGCACAAGTCCCAACCCCCATCTCACAGGAACTGGACAGGACACTATGCCGAATCCCAGATCTAAAGGCCATCGGACTGTCCACTCAACCAAGGGATCCGGTGGGAGAATTGTTCATGAGCTGTAAATACATTTGATCAAAATCACCGGGGGAGACACGCCTAGGCCCTGTTGGTCAAGTGAGATTTCCTTAGAAATTTCCTACAGATCCTCAGCAACCAGCTGTGCTTTAAAGCGCATTGCTCCCTTAGCAGCCTGCTCAGCATGGCTGCTCTCAGCTGTCCCAGAGCTTAGCCTCGAGGAGGGAGAGAGGACTCAGTATCAAGCCCAGGATCTTACATACACACCGATGTAGATGTATGTAAGCCACTTGTTAGGGCACCTTATACTTCCCCCTCTCTGTATCTGATCCACGGAGGATGCCAGTCTGGTACAGCCTCTGGGCTCTTCTGCTCAAGCGGTAGACACTCCTGCTTTCAGCTGTGGTGGCTCCCGGTGTCAAACAAGATGGCAGCTGTCATGGAAGCACTTCAAAAGGCCACAGCCCTGTTTAATACACCTTCTGCCAAAGCCTCATCCTTGAAGTAGAGGGCATTCAGCACTGCAATTAGCATCACTCTCATGATGGAGGGCCTCTCACTGCCACCCAGCTCCACATCACAGAAAACACGATCCTCTAGAAGGCTTTCCAGTACTTTTCAGTAACCCTGTGCATCGAACTCCAGCATCAGGGAACCTCTGTTCTGAGAGCTCAGACACCCCTCTAATGCATGGTTTTAAAAGGCACCTTGCTGCTGTACATGGTGCAGCATGGGGCTTGAAGTTACCGATCCAGAGATACATTTTTCCACCCTAAAATGCTTTTTAAAAAAGAAATATCACACACGCGAACGTGGCCAGTAGTTCCGAGCAGAAAACCAAATGTGTCAGTAATTTACTACTTTCCACTGATTAAAATGATCATTAACTTGTCCATTGCAAAGACCATTTAAAAAAATTATCCAAACCCAAAGCTTTTATATAACAAAGCTATGCAACCACACCTTATCTTAGTTACACCCCTTCCCCCCACCACGCTCATCCCACTTTTGTCTGTGATCACTTGTTTTCAGGTCTTAACTTTCATTGTAAGATATTTGATGCCCAGATAGCAGATCCCAGTTTAATCTCAGTTCTGCTGCTGTAAATCCACAGTAACTTAAATCGAGTGACCCCAGATTTGCATCAGAGTCACACAGATCAGAGACTGGCCCCATGTCTTATTTGTTCTGTGAACTGCTATTCATGTTCAAGGCACTGTATCAGTGCACACATCAATTCATCTGTGTTCTCTCTCTATGACACTGCAGAACCACCAGCCAGGAGCAGAAGGAACAATGGTATTTATTTCAACAAAGGGTATTTCAATCGCTTCTCCCCCCCGCCCCCGCAACTTTGACATTTCACCCCTAAAATCATTAGTTTCTTCCAAAAAGGAAATAAAGAGCCAACAGCCCAGTCAATCTAATGTCCCATGCATACCTGCAGGAACAGGTGACGAACCTGAGCTGTCCATCTCTACTGTGTATCAAGCTTGGTTATTAGTACAGAGATAGAAGAGATTCCATAGCGAGTTACAGAAATATATTTGCAGCCAGAAGTTCCCCTCCCAATTCCTTCTCACGTTAAGCCTTACCTTGAAAACAACTGCATGGAAAACAAAACAGACTTACCCGCCTTTTGCTAATCCGCGGTGTATTTGAATCCAGAGGATTACTCAATATCTGACAGCCCCGGCAACTATAAACTCACTGGGGCATGTGGGAGATTATTTCTGGTAATGTTTTCTTCCCCCGCCTCCTCCCCAAACTCTGAAGTAGGCTCAGGAAGGGGGCAGGCAGCAAAAGAGAAAAATGCCAGATTGCAGAAACTAAGATGTGATTCTGTGAGACGGTACAGCTAACATTCCAATTCCCCAGCATTGCTGGATGTGCCAGAAGGATCTAGACAATGGAAGGAACACTAATTTCATACTGAACGTCCTCGGAAGGAACAACATGGACCTATGATATCTTCAGATAAAAACCAAGATGTATTTTTTATTCCAAGCTTGTTACAACTTGTACACCCTTCCTGCTAAAAAAAAAAAAAAAAAAAACAGTCACAGGAAGAGTGCCCCTCAGGCCCTTTGCAGCATCTTGCAGAGTCGCGTCATCTTCATTGTCTTATTTCCATAAGAGGATCAGCTACTTTTCTGCTATTAAATAGGCTGCACCATGCAAAGAAAATTCAAGGTTCACAGTGCCTGTCAGTCCAAAGTTACTGAACAAACTATATACATAGGAATCCCTTGCAGCCACTTCCAGGGTAGAACATTACAGCAGTTTCATAGCACACAAGAACACTCCATGAGTGTTTCAGGCCGGAAATGAAGGGTACTTTGATTGAAAGCATAGGAAGGAGGTAGATTGACAGTTTGTATTTACCCACATTGGAATTTGGTCAAGGGCACTGGAGATAACCCCCAGTTCTTGCCAAAAAAGACCCTGGGGACTTCAGCTCCAGCCAGCGTACAGGACTTCGGCTTTGATGATGCCTCCAAAACAGCAGCAGCAGCCCAGGCATCAGAGCGCCGAGAGAACAGTGACACCTAGAGAATGAACCAGCTCCTCTTCCCGAGTCTCCCATCCAAGTACCAGCCCAGCCCGATCAGGCTAGGTGTAGGAGATCTGAGGTGGTCACCAGTGGCAAGGTGCAATTCTGCAGTGAAAGTCCTTTTCAGTTAGGCGCAAGACAAGCCATCAAGAAGTCACAACAAGGCCCAATGAGCCATGACAGACAAGCTTTTCCTAAACTCTAAACTCAAACAATTATGGCACTGTCCTAATGAGTCCTGGTGGGATTAGTGCAGCATTTGAGCCTACTCCATGGAATTGGACACAACTGGATAACCATAGAAGACCCTTCCAACTCAACCATCTAGGAGATGAAGAGCCCTCCAAATGGGACTGGTAATGAGCTAAGTAATGGAGCTGATCACCTCTAGGTGATTCATTCAAATACAGCCTGCGTTAGTAATAACTAGACATCATTTGCTGGTCAATGGACGGCCAGGGGACTTTGTGAAATGAATTAGTCATCTAAATTCATTGCCCAATGGGCAAATCTCACACATCACCACCACCACCGGGCACCTTCACTCGCAACTCAACGAAGAGCACAACCATTTGCAAGGGCCTGGAGACATCATCGTTAGAGCTGGTCATCCCATGCATAAGATTGAGGCACGTCACAGTACACTGCATGAGGAAGCTTGCACGGCTGCCATCGGCTATGCGCACACATTTTAGGGGGTTCACGGAAGGCTCCAGTTTCCAGGGCCAACAATACAGTGGTTAAGTTAGTTTGTTTTTCTGTGTGTTCACAATTAATACATAAGGAGAAGAAGAGAGGAAAGTCCCCCTCTGCTACAACTGTGCTTTTGACAGCAGAACAAGAGAGTCCTCAGCATTCAAACAGATTCAAGCGTATATTTTACACTTCGTTTTGTTGCCTCTATAGGCTGCTCGCTAATGAAGATTCTGGGGGTGGGTTTAGTCTGTCATACTCAATAAGCAACCTATGTTTTTTGTACAGTGACAGCAAGGAAGAGTTCCAAGAATAGGCATGATCCAAGTCTGCTTTCAATGG